TGTTGTAGAGCCATGACACAATTGTTACTAAACTGGTATTTAATTAGAAATATTCTATCGTAATAGCATATTTACATATGGTTGTTGACTAGGAATGAGCACTAATCACTGTGGTCTTGATGACCATGTTGCATCTTTTTGACAGGCAATTGGAAAAATTGTAAATGACAGCAACATAAAAATGTTAAATGTGGTATTATAGTCTGATCAATTTAATTAGTATTTATTATGCAAATATTTGTGTGGTTTTGTAGCAATTTTACAGCACAGCTGTTTTCTCTCAAATTGATATGCTATCAGCAAAAAGAAGAAAAAGATGTACCAATATATTGAGAGATGGTGTTGAAGCTAAACAAAGCTAAAAAACGATACAATGCAGAGCAGCATCCTAAGTCTAGGGATAGTTATGGAAGTGCTAGTGTTGCAAACCAACATGAGGATTGGTGGCTGAGTGACGAAATTCATTCTCATTTACGACAGTACATAATTCGAATTCCTCTATGCAACATTTTTGTGTTAATCTTTGAAGCCTTCAGATCACAAAACGACAAAGCATGATAATGGTGAACAGGCTCAAAAAATAAAATGTATCACTGCGTACAGCAGTAGTGTTCGTAGAAAATATAAATACACAATCACAGAACGGTAAATGATGAGATTTCAGGAATTCTCTAGCTGCCATAATACATTATTACTCCAAATTATTTAATATACATTGGGTACAGAACAAAGTTTGATTGCTAAGTAAAATAATTTCTCCCAATATCATGTCATGTTATATTTTGTATATTATTTAAGATCTTTTGGTAAAGGTAAAAAAATAATTTGCATTCGGTAATCACCTCTAAATGTTGTTTTAAAAGAACCACTAGGTTCATTTCAGAAATGAAGTAAGTGCTGGTTCCTTGTTACATGCAAAAATGTTTAGTAAAAGTTTTTGACCTGTCCAAGAACTGATTATTAATCAGTTTTGAGCTGTCTTTTTATACATATTTTATCTTATACAGCATAGGAAGAAATGATGATGGGCACACATTTTATCAGTGAAAGCCTGTAAATGGTGATAATTGTAAATTACCGGGAATTGTGCTAAGATATGTCGCATTATGCGGTAGTGTAGCGAGATTGATAAACAAAAAATCATAATCAAGAATATTGAGCGATCATGGCACAATTTTGACACAAAGATCTTAAATATTAATTATTTGAATAAACTGCCATTAAACAGCTCTTGATACATATTTTTGTGGAGACCAGTTTGTTTATTGCATCATCTTGCTGGTGATCAACCTACTCAGTTTTGTCGGTCGAGTTGGGCTAAAGCTGTTGAATGCATTCCATGTTCAAGATACATCACCTATGTCTTGCTGGAGAGCCTTTGTTCACATATCTACAGTAAAAACTATGCGGATGACTGATCGGTAGACCATAGAAGAAGGGACATCTTCACAAGACCTGGTGTATTAAGGTAGGCTTATGTAAAGTGCATTGATCAAAAATATTTGAAAAACGCTAATAAAAAAACCGATCACTTTTTTATCTCCTACAAATCGTTGAATGCGATTCAAGAGAATGAAATGACAAATTACCATTTCTTAAAGTGGAATAGAAATTGCTAACAAACAGATCGAGCATGTGCTGGGCTGATGACTGAGAAGAACTCATAATACTAATACATGGCTGTATAACAGTTTTGCATAGATGTATTCAAAAGTATTCGTTTTTGGGATATGAGGTTTGAACAAATGTGGTATGTAATGCGATCATGATTCCATTTTCCGATAAATATGCTTTATTTAAATTTTCAGGTGCTTTCTTGGAAGATTGTTTAATTAATACACCTCAAAGCTCACGGCAACTCGCAAGACAAATTTTGTTAGTTCAGAAAGGATGCAAGCAATGAGGAGTGGTGTAAACAAATTAATTTTTATCGATCTAACGTTTTCTTTTTCAGAGGAAACCATCTTTCAACATCAATCAACGTGCAGAAAGCACTAAATCTTTTTTCTACTTCCAAAAATAGGTTAATTACATTTATTGCTTTTTGCTTTTGAAATATTGTTATTTGTGATTCGTAGTCATCACGTAGAAACATCAATCATCGTAAGTTTGGTGTTTATCCGCATTGCAAATGGATGAAAAAGTCATTTCCCAACAAAATGATCAATAAATGGCAAAGCACCCCTAAATTTCTTATCTCGTCAAAATGGACTGTAATTGGCGTTATAGAGCAATAATTGGCTTGTTGTGTGCTACTCACATCGTTTTGGTAAAAAATTTTGTTGATTCTGTAAAATATGAGAGTGAAATACAAAATTCAGATGAAAGTGTTAACGAACACGCAAGTGATAATGGGATGTGTGCGGAGAAGAATGTGATTAGAAATAAGTCGTTTGGAACGTTCAAGAACATGGATTCGCACGATAATGCATTCGGCAAAATAACCATAAACCGTGTAGGGGATGATTGCCGTAGAGATGTGGAACGAGGGAAGGCAAAAAGCAGACGGTACACGGCTAATGGCGGGAATGAGACAGAAGAAATTATTGAGAACAGTTTAGCAGCGATGTGCGCAAAAGCTGATGAAAAAGGAAGAAACGAACGGATCGATGGTTTGAACAATGACACGCGGTTTCAAATCCTTTTTAAATCGACATTAAATTTCAGGAACTGCCTCAAAGATTTGTTCAAATGGTTTTGCGCATATCTGATCAATGGTCAAAACATGGACACAAACGAATCGATTAAGATAATATCGCGCAGTTCTACCACAAGAGCAAGTCATGTGGCCGCAAGGTCCTGTGAAAGCAGGAATGCGTACTGTTTGGAGAACTACACGCACGAGATATTCAAGTTTCACAGATTGTCCCAGGAGCAAATTGAGCAATTTATCGAAACCTACATATCATTCTACAATGACCACGCACCGGAACACTCCATTGTCGATAAGCTGTTCCTGCGCTCGCCGTCACGTATCAAAGAGCGCCATGCTCATTTGGCAGCCCTCAGGACTTTAAACATACGGAACATCAAACGAAGGGACCGCTATGCATTCGTGCCGATTCTGCAATGCACCGAAATAATCTCCGTCATACTTTCCGTGTTATCGTTGTTCAATACTGTTATAGCGTATCATACACGAATACGCGGCAGAAAAACACCGCTCCACAACCTTTACACCACCCAGTACTACATTAGCTGCGTAACATGGGTAGGTTCTATCCTGCTACACATCGATGATAACCGCTTCACCCGTTTTTGTGACTATTTCAGCGCACTTTTAGGAATTATGTATTATTTCTACACGGCAACCGTACGTCTTCTGCTGTCCTTCAAGGTAAGCAACGTCAAAGAAGTAACAACACATCTGTTCAACCTGCTTGCTCTTGTGTATATATCGGTTGTACATCATAATATTAGCAATTTTGATCCCAAGGCTCTCAAATTCGTGTCAGGTATTTTTATTTTCCTTTTTCTCACCGCTATTCTCATTCAATCCGTCTTTTTCCACAACAGGTACATCAAATACGTCGTTTTTTTCACGATTATAGGTCTGATGGCGGAATCGTCTGACATTGAGCCGTTTTGCTTTGTTCTTGATTCGCATGCTATGTGGCACCTCTTTATTGGAATACAGAATTTCTACTACAATCGTTACTTAGAGGAAGAAATCTCCTTGATGGGAGGTGATCGCTAGTATGAGCAGCTTCTTGCTCAGCAGGTATTAAATTCCATTTTGAACGTCGTTCTTGCAATTTGCCCAGTTTATCGGATATAATACGTGGTTTATCATTGGATTGCAAATACGGGCAGTCTTTCACAGCCTTTCGACCGCTGTGCTAATTGCGCGTTTATTACCGAATTGAAAGGCATTTACTTGCCATCGATCTCCTTCCAAAAATTGATTTAATTGCTAGCACTGCGCTCTGCCCACTAGATATAGTTTCTTGGTAATTTACTATCTATCTTAGTTTAAACAGCTTTTGGTTCATGAATCGGTATTTTTCTCATGTATTGGCATGATGTACTAAATTAGCTGCGACAACGGTAGGGCACAATTCACGATTACTATAAAATGGAGATTGATGTGTACACTCAGTGATAGTGGACCAGAAATGTTTTTTTGCTCAGTGCAGGTGTTGATTGTGTGGTATAAGGTAGGTAGGGCACCGTATTTGCTGTTCAAGGAGGTGCTTTATTTAGTGCAGTAGGAAAGCGTGATAATTCAACGATAGTGATCATAAGATTGTCTTTTAGGTGGTTGCACCGTACCTGAACGGCATCATTTCTATAACGAGCTATGTTGGTGCCATTTTTATCTTTATTTAAGTCATATTTTCTTTGTGACTGAGCACATTATTTTATTTATGATCTAGCGACACGGTCAATAAAGTGGGTGAATATGGAAAAGTTAAGTTTAAACACCATTTGTGCACCTCTGTTATTTGAAAAGGTAGATTAATCGATTTAATACGCTCCAACCACCACATACACACATCTCCTATTTTTTATTTCTTGGTTGCGCATCGATTGAATGGCAAGGTTGCTCCCGAGAATCGTCGTGTTCTATTGATCCTTGGCATACGTACTAAATAAACCATCACCACATTTTAAATTTGCAAGCACTTCTCATCATTTCAGCGATAGTTCTGTTTTATTTTTACCTGATGCAATTTCTTAGAAATATGCGCAACAAACGCTCTCCAGCCTCTTTGTCAACATCACCTTTTTATACATTTTCCCATTTGTTCGTTCCTGTACATTGTTCTGTTCCATTACTCGGTTCCGATCTTCATTAAAAATTGATAAAACTTTTTTTGTCCCCACCCCCACAAATGTTTGTCTTCCTCTCCTGTATCACGGCACTCGTCCACATACTCCCCAAGAATACGCATGTGGAGACGTATATGCACAGTCTGCTGGCCAACCAGATCACGCAGGGATTCTTTTCGCCATCACAGGGCAACAACTGCAAGTACACGGTTACCATCGAATCGGTCTCTGATGATCGCGTGCTTTTCTACTCACCCAATCTCACGCCGAACGAAAGAACGCACTTCAGCTTTGTGAACGACGAGCCTAAAAACCTCAGGATTCACATTGAGCTGCTTCCTATCGATCCAAACATACCGTACGAACCCGGAAAAATGCAACTATCGTTTTACTCGAAGTTTAACACGTTCGATAAGGATGTGGCCAAGTCACACGCGGTCGAGCCGGCAATTAAGCAGCTCATTGAATTTGAGAAGCTGCTGCACCAGGTTATTATGAGGACACAGGCGAAGAAGGAGAAGATGTTTGCCATCATGAGATCGCAGAAGACACTGTTTGCGTCCGTTACGTTCCTTTCCTTCCTCACGTTTGTTGTGTTTGTCGGTGTCAATTTGTATCAAATGAAGAAAATCGAGAAGTTCTTTAGAATGAAGAAGCTACTGTGATTAAAAAGCGTTTTATAGGAGGAGTGTCCCGGAGTGAGTGTTTTACGAGGGGCGCACTGGTGTTATTGGTGATGCGTGCGGGTTGTAAAAGGCCCATGTGTTTTCTTCGTCCATTTTTTGCTTACATTTCTGTTTTGTACGCTCTATGCTCCGGCAGTGTTCTGCTATAAAAATGAGGATGAGCATTGCCTTGTGCGTGGAGCACGCTAAGACGTGTTTAACAGAACTGCAGAAGAGAGTGGAACAATGAACACGAACTGTGTCGTGTGCCGTTACTGAATTATCAATGTGATGAATGATCAATGCGCACGCTCACAGGTTTTACAGCAATGGTTAATTTATTAGACCAAAATATCGTGTTAAAAGGTGCATGTTGCGAAAGGTAGAACAAGCTGTGGAAGTGCAAGAAGCACGTATCATCGCGTTAAAGAGGAGTACTGGCAGAAGATGCATTTAAGAAGTTTCCTTGTTGGCCTGAGTACGGTTGTGGATGAATTTTGGTGAAGCCATTGTACGGCTTATCCGTGTTTGGTATGGCTAAGCGATTATTTAAGAAACGGGATGCGGTAATTCGTTGTGAAGTGTTAAATGGCGATGCAGATCAGCGTTCTAATCTTTAAACATGTTGTAAACTGGTTTTGAAGAAGGATTGGCAGCAATTGGAAATACCAGTGCCCTCTCAGAAGGGTTCGCGGGCCATCCTACATTTCAACACGTGTTAAATTAGGCCGTTGGTGCTAAGGGCTATGACTGGGATTGGCCCTAAGCGTATTGAACAGAATATGTGAACGCAAGGTGGCACCAAACAAAGCTGCTGTTGAAAAAATAGAAATGTTACCTGTTCAAGTGCTTTTGGCAGTGATAGGAACAACAAGTTTAGTAAAACGGAAATATTTCGCATGTTTAATCGACGTATTGAGCCAAACACGTATTGACCAACTGCTCAATACAACAAATTTATTTTTTGCGTATAACTCCTCATATGAACAGCCAAGCAACCTGGTAACATACCATTTAAATGTTGAACGATTCGTTCCTGTCAAAATACGCCCTTCCCTCATCCTCAATCGCACACACATCCTCTTCATCCGGATCTCCCTCAACTGTCATCGCGTACAATCCTTCGCCATATTCATCAATACGCTGCCATTTCTCGACCCATCCACCCTTCTTTAGGACACCAATCAACCCTTTGTAACTGTAAGAGGTGCTATTTGCGTTCTTACAGTTCTTGCAGCCCTCTTTCTTCAGCTCTTGAATGGGTATCAACGCCGAACAGAGCATGCATGCTTTGTACTTCTTTTTTGAGGTGTAGCTTTTTTCTGCCAACATCGATTGTGAGGGGCTAATTAATTAAAAATACTTAAAGATGACCCGTTTGGCAGGGAACTGATGAGATGGTACATTTTCGGTTTTGCAGAAACAAAGTCAATAAAGCTGAAAGGCAAATGTTTTATGTTCATGTATCAAGATGGTCCAGCGATCCTCTCCGATGCGTTCGTTTAGTGAAAGATATCCCAAGGCAAGTGAGCACACAGCGAGAGACAGCCTTAATAAGAATTCTGAAGAACCAGCACGTGCGTAGACTGCAACAAAACACTTTACCACATCCAAAGCTATGCTCCTCGGTTTTCAGCTCGCGTGATAGCAACTCTCATTTCCTTCCTCTGATTAAGAATTTCCATAGCAGCCTTTAAATGAATATTATGGATTCACTGCCTAATTTTTTGGTTCGAAACTGAGCTCTGCAATAAAATAAAATGGTTTGCTCGACCAAATGCCGTTAAGATAAAATGCTACAACCTTTTTGCTGTAGGTGTCCCTCCTATGGTACAACAAACCGTTACTATTTCGAGGTAGCGCCACGGCACGCCAACTCCACAGTAAAACACCATCCTTGTCAAAAATATTACTTTTTTGCGTCAGCATTGAGCAAAGTGCCCTTCCTAAGCGACAAACCTTGTCTGTCACAGGAAGTACGCTTGGTTACCTCCTCGTGCAACAGCACCTGAGCAAAAATCGCTGTTGCCGAACACCCAGCACCGTTTCTCTTAAATTTCAGGATACCGTAGCGATGACCAAATCAATCAAAAATGGGCCAAATTCACCAACTGCCGTGGCTGTAAATTTATTTTTAACATGCTCTGTGCGTGCACATGCGTAGACAAACATCTTTCAGGAAAACATCTCTCAACCACGAATTTTATTATTCTTTAAAAAGAAGAAAAGACCGCCCAGAACGATAACGAAGATCCCCGCGCACCATCCCATCACGACAACTCTGGGAAAGGGCCTGACAAACACTCCCCTCGAATACTTAACCACCACCATTGTCTCCACACACACGATTGCCATTGACAGCCACAGCTGCCCACGCACAATCTTCTCACTGGTCGCGTAGTACTCGAATGCCTCTCTCACGGCCAGTGCACCGCCAGGCACAAAAATGAGCAGCCTGTACAGATTGATGTTGTGCTCCGTCGGGATGTACAGCAAAAACTTGAGATAGAACACGTTCAGCTCTGCCGCCAGGATAAAAGCAATGAGCGTTATAATTGCGACGTACCGTTTCAACGAGTTGCACAGTTTTATAAACTCGTAGCGCTTTACACGCATCCGCTTGATGAACAGCATGCCCATCTCAATGCCCAGAAAATTGCAGGTGAGCACGTCAAGGATCCAATGGTCCCACCAGCACTCTGCAAAGTTGTCGAGCTGGTGCTGAAGTGAGTACTCCGCAAACTCGAAGAGCACGCTCAGTATCCAGCATATCGTGCGATCGCGGAGCAGAAGGGTCTTGAAGAACCATCCAAAAATGTGCAGCGGCACAAACACGTCTATCTGGTTGATCACGTTGCGCATGTTGATCTCGCAATGCGTAGCGTACGAGCGCTGTGGCAGCGGAACGTTCAGCTCGGTGTAGAAGTAGCTCAGCGCTCTGCGCATGTCCTCCTTCTCAAAGTAGAACATAAGGACGAGAATCACCAGGTAGTATATGCTGCTTGCCTTTACACAGCGCCACAGAATGGCGATGGGCCGCTTGAATATGCTGTCGGTAAACTGCAGCATGCCGATCACGTTGAACACCAGGAACGATGAGAACAGCGCAGACTTGTAGGGATTGCTGGGCATGTTGAATGCATGGTATATCAGCACGGATATGAGGAGAACTAGGAGCGAAAGGGTGTGCGGCTTGGAAAAGAACTCGATGAGTTTTCTATCCGTTTTTACGGTTTTTCTTAGAATGGACATGGCGAGCTGATGAAAAACTGTTTGAGATACTTTTCTGGGGGGGTGGTGTTTTGTTTAAAATTGTGTGGATGTTATTAAAAATTGAGAGGTGGTGGGCAGTACGGCAACTGCGTTTTTGACCGGTTTAGAGAGAAGTGGCGATGAGATGAGAATAAGACGTCCTAGCTGATGACATGTACGTGCAATGAAGAGCACGCTTGAGCACATCCAGTTCATTCTAACGAATCATTCAAATCATTCATACATAAACTGCCAGTGCTCTCATCAGAACTAAAGCAGTTTCTAATTTCGTATTTTCTACACCGCGCCCTTTCAGTGCGCAGTCCGTGACATTCACAGTTCTTCGTTATGGTGGTACCACGTGGTGCACGATTATACATTTATGGCTGTCATTAACAGTACAGCCATTAAAAGTATATTTTTCTCACACATTCTATTTGCGTAACACCTGCACAGCCTATTTCCTATTATAGCCATTTTTGGCATTTACCGTAGAAGAGCAAAGTTAAAGAGCACGAAGCTGAAATTACACCGACATGCACACAAATAGCTAACAAACCACCATTAAATTAATTTTATGATGCCTTGAATCGAACGGGTGCGTTCTCGGCACGTTTTGCGGTTACCGCATCTTACGGCAGCAAGACGGGCAGTGATGCTGAAGCTTTTATGGCAATGATACGCACTGAGCAGATTCGGTACGGCAGTTCAACGAGTGTGGCAGGATAACACACGGATACGGAATGAATGCGCTGCAATAGCGCTGTTTGTGTGATCATGCTCATAACGGGAAAGATGCTGTTCGGTGCGAGTAAAATTGGCGCAATTTGACAATTACTTGGGCGTATCACGGCGTAAAAGAATTTTTACCTGGATGCGATGCCTAAAAGAAATTGTGGCGCCTTCGCATTTTCTTAGCACTACACCGGCTGATGCCGCTGAGCATACAAAACGGGGCACAGGTCAATTCGTGTTGACAGGTGGTAAACACTCCTAAATTGGACAAACACTGTTTGATTGGCGTATACCTCACGTATTGCATTCTTCATCCTCTAACACGTGCCGTATCGGCGTGGCTATGATCATCTGTCGCGGTAAAGACGTACAAGCCCGGTTGTGCTGCTGGTCTTCAAATTTGAACCACGTAACTCCAGCATGGCGAGCAAGCACGTTTTTATGGAAAGTGTCAAAAACGAGTGAAAGGATGTAAAGGAACAGCACGACAGCCTTAATGGTAAAAGAGAAACTGCCACTAGCAGTGCATTCGTGCACAGTGAAGAGAGCAACGGTTCATCTATCCGTTCTTCTTACGATTTTCAAAATGGCAACACAACACTGTCTGACCATGTAATTGAACATTTATGGATTTTTTTGTCGTGTGTGTTGTTCTGGGCCGTTATTTTGGCCATTGCATGCACGCCCTGTCTGCTGTCGTTCTATTTTGATCGAAACTATGAAAATAAAGAGGAGGAGCAGGAACAAAGTAACAGCTGCTCAGAAGAGCAGAGTGGTGTGGATTGTGATGATGAGAGCGAAGAGAGAATGTATTTGATTTGATTTGGTTGTGGTGCACCATGAGCTAGGGATGGTAGAATGTGATTGGTTATTAAAGTAGGTTATTGACTGAGTGTACGGCTCGTGTAAAAGGTGTTTACTAGGTGTAGCATTTAGGGAAAGACTTAGGCTATAAAATATGAATTGGTGCATGCGTCCCAGTAATTTGCTGGTGTAGCATATGCAGGTGTCTCACAGGTGCACAAAAAGTTTTCATCAGAATTGAGAGTGGTTTAACACTCATGCTGTCAAAACGCCTCTCAGGTTCAAAAAGAAAATGCTTCGTCAAAAATTAAGAAAGTGCAACGTGACGTGTTACGTAAATGGAAGTGTGCTGGCTTAAAGTACGATGTGCACGTACACCGGTAAATGCACGCTCTGCGCAGTACATCAGTAATAAAATTTTTTAGTTTTGCTCCACCGTACTGAGGAGACTATACCGAAGGATCAAGGACCAGGCAGATTACTTCGTTTAAAAAAAGGCTGGAAATGCCCCTTTCGAGCCATTAAAAATTAAGAGAAGAAAGTTGAAGGGAAAGAACCGTTCATTTAGTGAAAATTAAGAGAAGAACGTGTCAAATGCATGCTAAAAGTATTTAAGTGAGCATATTTTAGCATTTATGTTGAATGTTGAGCTGTTGGAATTGGATGAAGAGAGCTATGTTCGGCCCAGTGAACATACAAATGGCTATGCTGGTGATTTCTCGGCTCCTTCGATGCAATACGAAGAGAAATGGTCAATATTTGATTTTAGTGGCAATACTACGAACTTTTGCACATTTCTCTTGGTCATTAGCGCGTTGTTCGCAGCCTTATGGTGCTCGGTGTACTACCTGATGAAAATATGTGAAAATGTGATGAATAAGAGGCAAAGGAGTCGTGCAAGACATGAAAGCAAAGACATGGTTCGGCAGAAGGAGAGTAAAGAGCACAGTTCCGATCATAACCAAGTACGTGGTGCGCTGTGCAGTAAACCTGTTAATGTTACAACGTCTCTTGCTGATTGGTGTGATGAAGACACTGAGAGTGATTATGAGAGTTGCAATGATAAGTGAGCAGTAAATTAATTTGCTAATTCTTTTGTTCTAATGGTGAATCGCTGTGTATGACCAGGAGCATTTTCTGCGTTTCACGCATTGTTCGCTGTGAGTTAAAGCCTGTCTCATCGGAATTACCACTCAATGTTTTGCAGTGCCGTATTTGTTCCAAATTAATTTCTTTTTGGAGTACGTTTATTTACCTCTTCACACCAGAACATGCTTTTCTGGCCCACAACTACGTTATTGCTATGCAAAGGATTATTTGCTACTGAATTGCACCGAGAGCAGCAATTTGAACAGTTGCAAACATTTATTTTGGAGGATACCGGAATTACTTGGACTGAGTGTTTCTAAAAATATTTGGCGTGTCACCATTACCGGCAGTGCACCGCAGTAATGGCGTAATATTGTAATTGCTGTGAAGTGTTGGTTGTCTTGATCCATACTGCCTTCGTACACGGTACAATGACAAGTAAATGTAACTTTATTTGATATTCACACTACATCAACGTTTCTACCACATTTCTTGCCGAGGCAACGTCCCCGCTATTCCTTGGTTTTGATCAAAAATGTCTGCGAGCTCATTAAATTTCTAAATGTGTGAACAGAAGATGCTTTTGATCCATTCACGACCTCCACACAATCTTCAACACACCGAGCAGGTTCAATTCTTTGAGCCGTCTTCTATTTTAAGATTATGACAGTGCCAATTACCGATTTGTTGAGCATTTACCATAAAAATAAAAAAATAAAAAAGTGGCCCAGCCATGCACTTCAAAACGTTAAAGGACCTACAACGTGTGCCCATGCAGCGCGCAGCAATTCCGCAGTACCTTTTACCACTTCACAGCGTCACGTCATTCGTTCATTGCACTGCCAAATACGATGAGAAGATAGAAAGATTTTTTGCAGGATGTGATTATGTTTATCTAGTGATTGCTGTTTTGCTGTTTATTTGTATTGTTGCTGTGGCGGCTTGTTCGATAGTGTGGCGGAGATTAACGGTTAAATTTAATGATGATGATGATGAGGAGGAAGGTGTAGAAGAAGGTGTTGAAGAAGGTGTAGAAGAAAGTGTTGAGGAAGGTGTAGAAGAAGATGTAGAAGAAGATGTTGAAAAACATGAAATGAGGAGGAAGGTGTTAAAAACGTGAAATGAAGAGGAAGCGTGATATAGCAATGGTAAAAACTATGCTGCATAATATTTTTAATTAAATAAATACGTTTCAATGTCCCAAGCGTATCAGACGCACCGCAGCTGTTCAACACTTCGGTTCGCTGTTACCGTACGGTACACTAAATATTATTCTGTTGCACAGCTTTTCCTTGCGTTTTTATAGCTCTGTTCAATTGCCATCACACAAACTGCCACACTCCTCTCAACGTGTTCTACAAGCACATTCAACCAAAAGATCAGAAGAGCGTGTCTGTGCAGGGCTGCCAACTAAAACGTACGTTTACTCAAACAATCAACCATTCAAAACGAAACGTACACTCATTTTTGCTTCAAAGGATTTCACCCCGGTAAAAATGTTGCGTAAAAATTACGTACGGCCCTCCGCCAAGCAACTCACCAAAAGCCTAGAAAAACTCTGCAGCTCAGCAACCGTAAAGCTGTCCGATGATTTGTACTGCAGTTTCACCGTTCCTGATAACAATGTTTTAGTTGAACAGGCAGATTGCATTTTTGTAAAGGTTGATGCGGATGATGTTGCCAGGTACTTGGATGCGGAGTAGACCGTTACGGGTGTGGCTTGCACCGCGATTGGTTGCATGCCAGCCATCGCTTAGATCTGCGAATGCTGTCCACGCTTTTGCGCCAATTAAAGCATCTTCTTTGCGAACGGTAGTGCCTGCTGCTATGCCGCACTTGCTGCGCTATTTCCGTCTGCAACACGGAGCAAGGGCCCACTGCCTACCCAGCGGTATTTGTTCGTATTTTTGTTTAACACGCCAATCTTTCCTTTCTTCCACTAAAAATAGTTTGCTTACCTCCTCGTACGACCATTTTACTTTTCCAACCACTCCCCCAATGCAGGCTCTAAAAGCTAATTTCTATTAAACTGCGCTTTACGTGCAAGAGGGCGTTTCCAGTTCACCAGCCACAAACGCATTTTTAACCATGTTCGGTTGATGAAGGAGGTAAACCAACGGGTGCTAGCGAAAAGAAATGAACCGCATCTATGGTAATTAATTTAACGTGCCAATCATTTTACTTTCGTTTAGTGTTTGTATCGGTAAATTTATTTGAATTGCCCTGCAGCTCTACGGCAATAAATTGGTGAAAATGCTGCGCAGTAATGATTTATTTGAATTGCCCTGCAGCTCTACGTTTAATACCTCACAACAATGTCTCTGCCGTATACCATCCTGCTTTTCTCCACCTGACCATCGCTGTACCCGTAAATTAGCGAGCCGTATGGCGGTACAAACTCGTCGTATGCCTGTGTTACCTTTCGCTCTGTGCCGGCCAGCACAATAAAAAGTGGCAACGTAAAAAAAATGAGCATGTCTCTAAAATAGTGCGGGTAGGAAATGAAAAGGGCTAAGAAATTGCACTGATAATTTATAAATGGCACAGCTTTACCGCTGAGGATGTTCACGATTTGCAACTGCGTGTTGATAGAACTGTTGGGGTGCAGGCACGGTAATTGCGTGCAATTACTAATTTTGGTGCTGCTTTGGTTACTCTAACCAAACTGAGCAGCGTGTAGAACACGGCACTCAACTAGAGGTAAAAGTGCAAGTGTGTGCACGGTTGCAGTTTCTTGGAAAGGACCGCATTGGTTAGAACGTGCGGTAATTTTTCGTTTGCAGTGAAAAATGAATTTGTTTTTCTTACAGAACGTAGCCGTACCGTGATGCGATAAAAGTATTTTAGTACCAAATTATGTTTTAGTTCATGAACTGCTGCCCGTTTCAATAATCTGTTCCTTTTCGTGAGTCCCCGTATCTTATACTTTAAATTCTTTATTTTCTACATTGCTTGCTCAAAAGTGTTAAAATTGCTTTACGCACCTCATCCACAGTAAATACGTGCTTAAAATGCTTTGCTTTACTTCATGATGGTGGTATTTTAATTAACATTTTATTTCCTGCAAAGGAAATAAAATTACTGCATTTGCGAACTATCTCCAAACATTGGCACATAGAAGCAATTAATTTATGAGAAGAAAAGAAATTCTCACTAAAAATATTTAGTTCCTTTCCTTATGCCGATGAATAAACCATTTTTGATGAAAGTAACCTCAAAATGATTTATACCATGCTGCCAACCAGCATTTAAACCACTCGTTCACAATTCTTCTCTTCACCACTCCGTGCTATTCGTTTTTTACTTCAGTTCTTCAGTAGCACTGTGCACACCTCCTATTTTGCAAATATCCTTTCTCTATATTTGCTGTGCTGCACATTTATTTTTAAAGGCTTGTAAACGCATCAAATACTTTTCCTTTCTTTACACGCACTTTTGCTTATATTTTCGTACCACAGCACCTAAATAACGCACTGTTCTGGTGCACTGGACTGACCAGCACTTGGTATTTATGCATTCACTCCATACCCAACAGCACGCCTAAGCCGTACTACTATCACCTACTTTTCTTGTTAAGCCCTTTACCACACCAACCTAAGAAAAGGTGAGTCTCTGCTACTTTCCACGCAGCACGATCAACGTTTACCCCACCATTCACATTTTCGTTAAATACGTTCTCTCATCGCATAAACATTTCAAACACAGCACATAATTATAGTTTGCCATGTTTTGACCAAGCAAGTGGTGATAGTGTAGTCGGTTATCACATCCGCCTAACACGCGGGAGGTCCTCGGTTCAATTCCGAGTCACCACACACTTTTTTGCCATTTACACGCACCGTACAATCTCTCAATTATGCATTATGCTTATCCTGTTCTACACAAGCACGCATAACAATCTTAACTGTACTTTATAGCATTTATTTACAAATCGTGTTCAGCATTAATTTCACTTCATGCAATACATGAACAAAAACAGTATGGCACACATCACTGTCAGGCACCCTAGGGCACATACACATATCTCCCGTCATCGTACACCACAATGCCCTTCTCCACCGCAACCTTTAACCCTTCATCCACACCCTCTCCAATGAGATGTTCAAGCTCATTCTCACTCATCTCCTTTCTTCTCTTCATCAGCCTGCATATTCTTGAGAGCACTATGCTGTTGTTGTTTGTGCTCTGCTTGCTGAACGGTGTTGATCGTGGTTTAGAGCACTTTAGATCGGCGGTAAGGTCCTTTTCTATTTTGTAGGTGTCCGTTGTGTGAACGAATCGGTGGCATAGTTCATTATCGATGCCTTGCCGGTTATTTTCATTTTTTGTGCGCATATTTGTGCCCAATCCTTCTCCTTCATTACCGTTATAAGCACCGGTCCTGTCGCTATTTGCATACACCCCCTCCGCACTTCCTCTACCACACCCCTCCGCACTTCCTTTACCACACTCCTCCGCACTTCCTTTACCACACCCCTCCATTACACAACCACTCACTCACCACATAATCATCCCCATCCAATACAATAACACCTTCCTCTGCCATCCTACCCACATTATCAAGCACGCACTCCCTGTCCCCCATCATACTTACCAACTCGCTCACACGTCCCTGCCCCTTCTTCAACACTGCAAACATCACCAAATTTATGCGCATTACAACGCTGCCAATGCGCACGTCCATCGTGCTCAGCTCGTAATCATAAACCAGTTTATGCGTGTTATGCATTGCGGAGTAGAACGCTTTGAAGGCTGACAGCTCGTGTAGCGGGGGGTATTTTATACCTCGTGGTGTGAACGGCCACATATGACTTGTAAGTATTCTGTGGTGTATCGGTTGCTTAAGTACTATCGTGTTGATTGATGAGTCATGCACAACCTTATTATCATTCTTATTCTGTTTATGCACATCCTTATTATTACTATTATTCTGTTTATGCACAACCTTATTATCACTCTTATCTTGTCCATGCACAACCTTATTATCACTATTATTCTGTTTATGCATAACTATACTATCAGTATTTGGTATTGCCCCCACATATAACCTCTTATACGCATTTCTACCCGCTACGTATTCATTCCCACGCTCATACTCCTCCATCAAACCATAGCTACGTATCAAATCGCCCAGCATGTGTTCGCACTTCCTGAACAGGTTGGGCATAAAGTACGCCTTGAGCTGCTCCATTACTTCACGCTCTCTGCTCACGTTCACAACGTGCGATAGCAAACGGTTCATCATTTTCTTCTCGTAGTAGTGGATGAAGGCGTCCGTGTTGGTGTATGGCATTATTTTGAGGAAAGGCTGCAGAATGGTGGGATGGAACGGCTTGGCATCGCCTGCATTTGCACGTATCTCGTTATTTATGCACGTACTATTTGCATTTATCCTGCTGTTTATGCACATGTCATTGGTGTCTACGTGGTTGTTCATGCCGGTGATACCATCCGGTCCTGATCCGTCACCCACAAACCCAAGCTCATCATCACTCACAGCACCATCCAAGAGCACCTCCTTCTCCACCCGTCCGTCCACCAGCCCATCAATCCATCGCACCATCCTCTCAACATTGCAGTTCCTCTCCACCACCACGATCCTGTACCTCTCAACAACAGTCCGTACACCCGTCCTGTCCCAAAAATGAGCAATCATGCGCTCAAACTGCTCATTTATGCACAACGCATCGATACGCACGCTCCGTAAGTACGCGGCCATTCCACGCTCAAAGAGCGCATTCGTGCGCCCATCGTTCAGCTCGTATATCGTTCGGTAATCATCAAAGTACCGAATGCATTGCTCAATTATGTGGGCGGAGTACGGCAGCACGAAGTGGCTGATGAGTGCCTGGTTGTGTGCTGGGAATGAAACGGGCAGCATGTAACACGTCCTGTTCGCCATCTCATGCGTTATTATACGTTGCGCTTCATGCGCATAGTTGGACGTGAGTGCCACGCGAGTGTACAGCGCATTAATGCGCATGAACAGTGCATGCTCGTATGTTAATGCGTAATAAGTGGAGTGCTCCACTTTTATGCGCATGAATGCGTGCAACACGTGCACGAGAGCGTGTGTATCGTTGTGATCTGGTGCACTGTCCGATACGTGCACGGTGGTGCACACCGCATCACCGAAGTGCACCAGCCGGTCGAGCACGTGCGCGTGCCACATGTCCATGCCCATCTCGTACACATCCCAGCGCTCCGTGTTGAGCAGAAAGCACAGGTCTGAAAGGTTCGAGATAAATGAGCTGAATGCATCGAAGTAGTGCGCGTATCTGCGGATCAATTCCTTGAGAACAGCGGGAGAAGCGGTGCACGTGTTTATGTACGGACCGGGTGGCAGCCGTTCAATTGCACGGTCGTCAAAAGGAGCAGCGTTGGGGTGCGCTGCACCAAAAGGCACGCTAGCACTGCTACCATTTACCGTACTAGTTCCTGTGTTAATTTCCTTTACCGTGTTGATGCCATCCCTGCTGCCATCCCTGCTGTCAATCACTACCCCATCACCATCTATACCGTCATCACTACCCCCCTCCACACACCCACATTCCTCCACATGCCCCTCATACCCATCAACAATACGCCCATACCACCACAAACACTCCTCCACAACACCACCAACCACCGTATCCCTGACCGCATCCAAACACCCGTTCAATCCAAAAATACTGTCGTACAAATTCACGGCAGATATCGTTTTGTTACGTGCCAGCCGTATTATCTGGTCCTTCAGGACTGACAGGTTGCATTTGTTTTTTGGGATGTCCATGAGGGGTGGAATGGCTTGTTTTGTTTGTTTGTTGTGATTTATTACGTGGTATGGAGCGGGGGGAGGTGATGAGGATGGAGAATAATCGGCATTTTGAAAATAATTGAGAATACTTGGTATTATGTGAGCATAGCGGTACATACATGGTTAAGTTGTAATATATGATAAGCAGCATACGTATGGTATACCGTGCTGTTGTGCCCATGGCATGTAAAAGTGCTCATCTTTTCAACAATTTCCATTTATTCCAAGGATAGGATCGGTAATTTGCGGTGTGTTCCAGCTCCTTCCTCATCTTTGCTTTTTATCACTTCTTCCTCATCCCTACCTTTCTCATCCCTACCTTTCTCATCCCTACCTTTCTCATCCCTACCTTTCTCATCCCTACCTTTCTCATTCCTACCTTCCTCATCCCTATCTTTCTCATTCCTACCTTCCTCATTCCTACCTTCCTCATTCCTACCTTCCTCATTTCTACCTTCCTCATTCCTACCTTCCTCATCCCTACCTTCCTCATTCCTACCTTTCTCATCCCCTTTTTCTACCCCCATTTCTTAACCATCCTCTTACCCCCCTTCATGCCCTGCCAGCACCCCATAAAACTGAACAAGCTATGCGCACTGTGCGGTCAAGAAGTGCAAGACACAGAAAATACAAAATTTTATAACGCATTGCACAGCAACAGTCGATTGAGGGTTGATAAAAGTACCATTGATGGTATGTACGTGCGGTACAGGGATGAGCTGATACAAAAGAAGAAGATGATCTTGGTTGTGGACCTGGATCAAACAATACTGCACAGCATTGAGGTTAAGGGAGGAAGAGTAGGAGACAATGGCAGTAGGAATAGAAACGGTGAGTGTGGTGGTAGGGGCATCACAAACAAACAACTATTACAAGCACGGCCAAGGCAACCGCTCCCCTCCTCGTTCACATACACCCTCGCATCAACAACCATGAAAACAACCCTTCGTCCCCATCTCCACACCTTCCTCACCGAGTTAAATGAAATGTTCCACATGCACATCTACACCATGGGCACATCGGAGTATGTGCACCAAATAACGAACGTAATTGACAGGGATAGATCGTTGTTTGGTGATAGGATCGTAACACGTGATGATGAGGTGCTTGTTAAGAGATTGGAGCGGTTGTTTGGTGATAGAGAGGATATGGTGGTTGTTATTGATGATAGGGGAGATGTTTGGGAGTATTGTGGTAATTTGGTGATGATACGACCGTTTTTTGGGGTTGACTGTGGGGGTGAGGAA